TGAGAAAAATAAAACCTGTAGTAGGCAAAGAAAAAAATTGATAATTAGGTCAGAGAAAGTAAATAAAGAGTGAGTAGCCAGAAGCAAATATAGCAGTGAATGGATTCAGCACCCCAACCGCCTTATGCTCCGATTTTCCTTAGGGATGAAGGTTCTCTGAAAAAAAGTTCCTCTGATTCTGTTTAAAAAAATAATAACCAAAAAACCATGTTAAGTCCCACAAAAGAAAGGCGAATGCCAATCCTTCCCTTCTTGTGCCCCATAACTAGAAGGGAGAGTCTGTGCAAAGCATTACCCCAACTTGAAGGAAGGGAAAAAGAAAAGGCCTACCTCACCAGTACTACAAAATTGTAGGACGTGTCTGTGTCACTGTTTCCCTCATGCTGTTAGGTGGGATCACATGTATTTGTAACTGTGGTGCATCCGTACAGGCCACTGTGTGTTTCCCATGACTTAAATTGGCTGGTAGATCAGCAGGGATGTTGCTTTTAAGTATGGAAAGATGATCTAGGAAACTGCTTATGATACCAGAAATGTTAGTACGTCAACAAAAGAACGTAACAGAAAAAAATACAATGATACAAATGATGTGATACGATAAGAACGTGTGGTTTCTGTAAAAGAAAATCATGTGTTCTACTACTGAGATGTTTTGAGCATGTCAGGAAAATCATGGACTTAAGAATCAGTTGAAATTTATTTGGTCTTTAAAAAAGCCTTTGGCAAAGCTTCTGACTGAGAAACTGCCAAATAAATTAAGCAATGTGATGTACTACGGCAAATTAGAAATTCACCAAGAGACAGTAAAACAAAGGGTAGGAAGGAATTAGCAATTTTAAGTGTGACAAAAGACTAGCAGAGGGGTGTTCCATTACTAAGAGTGGAATTGTGCATATTTTAGCAAATGTGATCTGCACAAAACGATGACTGTGGGTGAGAGAATTGTAGATGATACAACCTTATGTACGTGAATCAAGATTAGAAAAGGCAAAGTTTGAAAAGGAATAAAAAAAGTCTGGCTGACAGATAAACAAGGGAGCAAATGAAATTATTGTTGACAAATACAAGGTACTGCACCTTGGAAACAAGAGTCTAATAACGCACCTGGCTGGCTGATATAATGAACTGTAACTGCTCAGGAAAAATATCTTGGTATCGTTGTAGACAGTTCAATGAAAACCTTTTCTTGGCATGCACAGCACTGGTTAAAAAGTACACTAGATATGTGAATGTCCATAGAATAAAACAGAAATAACACTGGAAATACTACAATGCTATTGTCAACATACGGTATGCTGCCACTTGTGATACTCACTTCTGGTCACTGCATCAAAAAAGTGTATCAGAAATAGAAGGGATTTTAAAAGCTGACAATGCAAATGATTAGTGGGATGGCAGGGACTCCCTTTTGAAGAAAGAAGCTGAAAAGAATGGAACTGCCAGGTTTAGAGAGGAGGTGTGATCAAACTAATGCATGTGATGGAGAAGATAAATTGAATGGCCTCTTCTTTTCTTTCGTATAATGTGAGAATGAGAACATAGCAAGAGAAACTGAAAGAAACAAATGAAAAAAAAATATTTGACCAATAGATAATTTGTACCCAAGTCCTCAGACTAGGCCTAAAGTTTGTAAGGAGTGTATAGTTCTGTTGAAAGTCGTTGTGTACATCATATCAAGCACACACCGAAAAATCTGTGGAACCACAAAGTATCGTTTGAAACTGGGAAGACTGTAGGGTTAAAATAAAGATGATACAAGTACTTTGCACAGTCAAGGAGAATATCCACGGTTAAATGAAATAAACTCAGAAGGGAGAAGTCCTTAAATGTTTGTGACATAAGTCAAACAGTAGTTTGATGGGATTTTGAGAGAAACATTTTCTATGAGCAGGTTGTGCACTGTGGTTTGTTGCAGCATAGTTCAGAGAGATCCACATCTGGCAGCAGCTGGGCTCAGACTGCGACTTCGGAGAAAACCTGCCAACTGCCCTCTTGTCTCCTCCTGCCTGTGGTTCTTGCAGGAACAGCCTAGTTGAGTCAGAAGAGAACATCGGATGGTTTGGGTAGTGTTAGCAGAGTGTAAGAGCCATTCTCTGTCTTCATGGAAGGAGAAGGCAGCTTTTTGGACTGTAACACGGCATGACCTGGACCTCTCCTATGGCTTTCTGTGTGGCTCTGTGGGGTTTCTTGTTTCTTATTCTGCAGCAAGTCGTTGCTGCCTTGACTTTTCTCTCCAAAGAGCATAGAATGGCAATTCTTGGCTCTTTTAGCTGCTGTCAAATGAGCAAATAAGGGATAGTTTTTCCTTTAAAGGGACTTTAATTCTTGGCTTCTATTTCTGGTAGTGTTCAAATTTTTAAATAAATATTATTATTTATTTTTGAGAATGAAAAAAAAATTAAATCTTGTGGTGGGACTGGACCCAGGACATTGGGGGTTAAATATTGGGCTCAGTGTGGTTTCATATGAGTTTTTCGTAGATCTAAAATTCTTCCTTTCAAAACCCTAAATGTTTGGGTTTGAATTCTGACATTCCTTGGCTGCAAGTTATAAATGTACTTTATTTTATGAGAAATCCATTGGTGACGCTGCTGTTGTCTTTGGGCAGGAGAAAAATCCAAATCAGATGAATCAGTCCCCCCTATTCTCATCCATTCTCAAAAGATATTGCGGGGGTGGCATGCCATACTGCTGGGGAGAGAAGGTGGGCTCCCACACAGACTTTGCCACCTGACTGCAGCAGTGACAGCCTTCAGAAGGCATCACATTGATGATTGTGGTAAGGGGCCTCTAGAAGAAGTGGTTAAATATGTAGGCAGGGAAATGTTGATTGAAGGGGATCCTGGAGAGAAACCCTGGCAGGCAGCATCTCAGTGGGTGTAAGAGATAAAGTTGCCATGGTGAGAGTGCTTGCTACCATTAGTACATCTCGGAGCTCTTCATGAAGAAGAGTGCTTACATACTGCTGTGCTCGCAGACCATCCTGTTTCCAGTAGCATAGACCGGCAATCTGGTTGGCATTTCCGTTGTAACCTGTTAATATTTAGAATTTATTGTGCTGCTATTCTTCTGTGAGGTTGTTGCTTTAAAACTGTCTTAGGTTAGCATTGGCTTCTACTTTTTTTTTGTTGTCAGGTACAATTATAAGATTCCAGAATTACTTTGTCTGTAAATGTCATGTTTATACGGTACTGAGAATGTCATTCTGTAAAGCGGCTGGCCAAAAGAAATTCTCTTTTGCTGTCTGTTCGTTCGGTACCTAATCTCCGGAGCCCTTAAAGAACTACTGAGTGAAAAGTTATACAGCACTGATGAAATGTGTCTTCGCTGAATGCAAAAAGGACTAAAAGAGGGGCATCTCCCAGCTTCACATTTTAGCAGACCTGAATTCAGGTCCTGTGCGTGTAGAGCTGGGAATGCTGGATATGAGCTTGTGACTGAATTCCTCTTACTATATAGAAAATGAATCGAGCCAGATCTACAACCATGGGAAACTGCAACCTGAGTTTTGACAGAGCTTTCTTTGGGAAATGCTCCTGTTACCCAGAGCTCTGCAGCATCTGCACCAGGACTCTCAGGATCTAGATCTTAGCTCTGCAGGAAACTGGAAAGTGCCGAAAGCCTTAGCTAAAGCTAGGTTATCCAGGCTCCCTGGTGTAGAGCTGAGCTTTGATTAGAGCTGGAGCTTTCAGGGCTTTTTGGACTCCCAGGCTGTAGCAGCGAGCCTTGGATCCCTGGCACAGCTGCCTGCTTCTGAGCCAAGCCCCGGGAGTGGGGGGTAAAGTACCACTCACTGGGGTAGGGGAATCACGCCTTGTTTGCCAAGAGTTCATCAAACCTCTCCGTGTTTCAGGTGAAATATTTTGCATTCAACAAATTGCCATTTTCCAACAAAAATCTGTCTCGCTGAAATGTTTCCAACCAACTCGAGTCACAAGTGAAAACGAATGTGTGGAGCTCAGTCTGGTGCCAGTTTGTCCTGATCACATGTTCATCAATTAGTAAGGAACAAATGTATGTATTTGCCAGTCTTTCTGCAGGGAGTAGTCCGGAGTGCTACGGTCAGGATTTAAAATTCATTTGTGAAGCTATAGGGAAAAAACTTTTCAATATAGCTGCCACTATTATGCTGGGCTCAATTGTTCCTTCCCTTTCATGAGTACTGTGTTAAACAAGAAATTGTATAGTTACATGTATATAGTTTATATTAATGAATGTGTTCAAATGGTATGTAAACCATTACATGTGGATGGATGGATAGAGTTCTCTTTAGAAGGTAATCAGGATCGGGCCTGAGGATATTAGGTGTTGTAGTCATACTGGAGCGTGCAGTCAAAATGTGAGGACAGTAGGATTAATTGTGATTGTTAATTGACTGATAAAATAGAATAAATGGCAAACACCATCTCTCATGTTTGTGTTTTATCATAACAGAGGTGTTTATTTTCTGGTAGAGTTAATTTGGAACAAACTTTCCGTAGTGCCTTCATATTGCCAGGTGCTGTGTTTTTGCCCTAATGATGCATGAATCGATGATGGACATTGCTATGCAGGTTGGCATTTTGCTGGGTTGCTCTGAACAATTGTTATTTATGAGGTTGCACAGAATGATCATGCTTAGCAGATCAGGTAATAGATAGGGTTATAGTTATATAGTTATAGCTTGGAAGTCTTTCCATGCACTGACAGGTCATCAGGATCTGGTTGTAAGGACTGTTTGATCCAAAGCAGACTTCATCATGGCCATGTTGCAGAAACAGATGTTCCTGATTTATTATTTTTTTTTTGGTTGAGTCTGATGTTTATGTTCTTTGACTTATGTGTGAAAGAATTCTACTGTTGTTAGTGCCTGACCTCTTTCCAAGTGCTCAAAGTTAAGAGTTCACTCATTAGTTAACTTTTTTTTTAAAATGGCATGAGAAGTGTAGAGTTGAGATTTCTATAATGCTTGTAAACTGTTTTGCTTAATACTTGCTTTTATCTTTCACTTCTTGAACCAGGTTCATCAGCACCAAGACAGGGGTGAGACCTTTCAATGCCAGCTATGCCCTTTTACCTCCTCCCGCCACTTCAGCCTGAAACTCCATATGCGTTGCCATCAACATTTCCTCAGGACAGAATCCAAAGTGAAGGAGGAAACACCAGAAACTGAGGTGAAGGGGTCACCACAGCTAAATAGTGACTCCTGCCCGGGACCACAGAGGGAAGGAGGTGTACCTGACCTTACGGGATCAGCAGCTGTATCTAAAACACCTGATGTGTCTGGGCAGCCTGGTGGAGGTGTTCCACCTTTACTAGTGAAAGAAGAGCCCAAAGATGACAATGGCATCTCAGCTGCACCTTTTGCTCTTAGCACTGTTGACAGAGCCCCCAACAACACAAAGCTGAAAGACTCCTCTGACTTTGTGGCCAATACGGCATCAGCGCTGTTCAGCCAAGACATCTCTGTCAAGATGGCATCAGATTTTCTTATGAAGCTGTCAGGTAATTGAGCAGCAAGCAGCAGCATCAGCTGCTCCTTGTGGGCTGAGAAACGCTTTGCCTCAAGTTTGCTAAATCATGGACTTGCAGGGAGAAAAACGTTGCAACTTCTTAACTTATAATTTCTTGTTCCTTTTGATAAGGAGAGGTGCATGATGGAGGGAAGAGGGGAAATGGTGAGAGAAGGGAGGGATTTTGCTGTTTAGTTGCTGGGATTGGGAGTGAGGACTTTTTATCCAGGCTTTCATCTTCGTTGACAATTACCTTGGCAAATCTCATTTGGTGTGTTTTTCAGGCATGCTGAATACCTGTAGTTCTGGTTTGAGATCACTGAGGGTTGCGACACCCAACATGTTACAAAATTCAGCGCTTAAATTCTCTGTCTTTACCCATCTGTTAAATAGGACCAATAAAGTATTGGTCACCTTCCTTTCAGAGGACTCTATACGAAATCCATTTTTTTGTTATCTGACAGCTGTCCCATATATTTTGTCATTCTGATGTCCGTCTTAAACTTGGGTTGCTGTGCAGTAAGTGGCACTACACATCAGCTGTACTGCCCTGTGGATGGTAGTGCTCCTGATGGCAGCATGTGGCAAGAATGAGAGCAGAAAGCAGGGGAGGGGGGAAAGCCTGAAAGCTGAGAAAACATACAACATTTTGATGTGTTATTTTTCATGTAGCAGTTGATGGGGAGCTGTTTACAGTTTGGCAGACGGTCATGTTTTCAATGTCTGATCTATTGGCATCAGAAAAAGAATACAAATGTACATTATTCATGCAAAAGGCCTATGCAGTTATTTTATGGTGACTTGCTAAAGGTCTTGAAACCTGACTTGTATGCACTGTTACCTAGCAACATGTTATAAAGTCACTGGGGGAGTGAGATGTATCTGTAATTTTGTATGTGTGCATATTTGGATGAAAATGTACTGCCAATCACCAAGTTTACTACACAAGAAGAGCAATGTTAAAAGGAAAGGAATTTCTTTTCTCCTGAGATTCATATTGTGTTACATACATTTAGCTCATGCTTTCCTCCATACAGTGTGCATAAATTTAGAGTAGAAGTAATTCTCTTTTAGCAAGTTGGCTAAGTATTAGCTGCATTTTTTTGACTGCTTGCTGTGCTGAAAGAAGTTCCTTTGAGTGATTTCTTTATTACAACACTCTCTTGTTAGGCTCCTCAGAACTTCAATTATTGGCCCTACCTTTTCAATGATATAAATCTTTTGACATCTCAAATTGTATATGCCAATTGTAACAGCCAACACAGATTTGTCGAGACCAAATTATGTCAAAACAATCTAATTTTCCTCTCTGACAGGCCTTGTGGCTAAGAAAGAAGCAGTAGATAGATACATAGACTTTTAGAATTTGGCATTTATTCTTCTTGAATATTGATGGTTTAAACGAACATTTATTTTTGCTTGTCAATGTTTATTGCTCCTCTTGGTTGGTGTCGGTTTGTATGCCTCTAGTTTCATGGGAGACCTCAGGGCCTGTTGGTTTTCATTTCTGTGCGGTTTCAGCCTCTTCTTTTTCCAAGCGTGTGACTCAGAGGAGCACTTGTCTTCCTTCAGACCTGAGAGTTACGGTTTCCAGAAGTTTAACTGGCATGCCTAGGATGAAAGACAATACAAAATTGGTGTTTATTAACTACTGTGAATTTTAAAATTGAATCTCTAATAAGCATGTATATAATCTTGACTCTCAGTATTATTTCTGATTGTGCAATGCAGTACCTTTCTAGTCTAGATGAAGTGGATATCAGATGGTTGGAAAACAGTACATTGAAAGTCGTTCACAGTCAAAAGAGAAGAGTCGCAGTCAAAAGAGATCTGTAAAAAATGTGCAACTGTTAAACAGTTGCAAAAATACAAAACGGGGAACAACCAGCTAGGTGACAGCTCTGTCAGAAAGGAACGGGAGTTAAAACCACTATAGTGGTGCTAAAAAGGCAGTCATTTTACTGGGATGTATACAGAGAGAAACAGCCTCAAAGAAGGGGGAAACAGTCCTGCTCTTCTCTGTCTTGTTGAAGTCCAAGGTTTTGGTACTATAGGTCATGAAAACTGCAGACAGTTGGAAAGACTTCAAAGGAGAGCAGCAGAAATGACTGGAGGCTTAGAAAACGTGTCCAGTGAGGAATGGTAAAAGGGAGTGAGGTTGTAAGGCCTATAGAGAAGACTAAGGAGGGTCATTAATAAGCCTTTAAGGCATTAAAAAGTTTGTCACGGGGAAAAGGAAATAATCTGTTGGTGATTCATCATAGTTAGGACAAAAAATAACAGGTTGATTTTGCTGTAGAGTTTAAGCTGGTGTTAGGAAAGTCTTTCCAAAAGTTAAGGTAGTTAAACCTCTATGATAGTTTGTCTGGAGGGATTGTGGCATCTCTGCCACTGGTGAATTTAAAAAACAGGTTAGATAACCACCTGTCAGATATGGTTGATCACGTATTAGGCAGTAAGATGGACTAGATCTATGTATCTCAGTCAGTGAACCATAGGACATCAGAAGCAGCTGCACAAAATTTTAGCTGAATGAAAACAAGCAGCAAGCTGTAGAGAAGAAAAGTGGGGAAAAAATTTACAGATGTTCAAAGTTAGACCTGATTACAAGTGGGCCAGAAATGAAGTGTGGTGACACTGCTCAAAAAGGCCTTTGAATTTCTTTTTCTGAAAGGCTTAGGGGAGCTTTAGGTTTAAAGAGGTTGAGAAATATTGGTGTGAGTGGCCTTTTGAGATCCTTTCAGTCCTAATTCTGTGCCATTGCTTGCCAGAAAGACTTTTTTTAGTTATATGTTTTATGAAATAAAGCATAACACAAATCACCAAATGTAAATCTAAAAATAAGAACAAATCTTGAATTTTTTTCCAGATTCCATTCTCTGTGCCCTAGTTTAAGGTAGGAGATGCTTTAAAATTCACAAGAAATTTAAAAGGGTTCTCTGAAATTTTATTTAAATTTGGAAGGGAGTATTGTTTGTCAAGACAATTAGCAGATGACTTAACATACAAACAGAAGAATGTTTAAGCATGAGCATGTTTTTGCCTTCCAATCTTCCCCCTTCTACTTCAGTGGGACTGCTTGTATGCTTTAAGTTGGCCAACTACTTTGCTCGATTAATGCTTTGCCAGAAGGTTTTCTTCCCCTAGTCCATTAATTCCACATTGAAACTTTGTAACTGCATTCATATCTTAATTTGCTTTTCCTGTTTCAAAGGTTTCAGTGGCAGACATCATACAACACATCTTTTTAAATACTGGTGTCCTTCCACCCACTTCTAAGGCTTATTTTCTTTTGTAATAAAAAACGACTTTCACAGTGATCCGCATTACAATGGCCAGTGTACTCTAGTGAAGTTATTACTGTGCCTATGTTATGTGCTGCAGTTACTTTTCATAACGTTCGAAAATAAATGAATCCCATCAAAATGAATGGGATTCTTGCACTAGTGATCTCCAAGGAATTCTGTGTGGAAACAGTAATTGTAAAGCATACTTCATTGATGGCCTCTCTCCTCCGCCTCTCTGTGTTCACCAAGTGCATTACTCTGAAAAGCATGTCTCTTCGTCTTGTGACAGTATATATTATCAAGTATGCTCTGCTTCTGTAGTTCTCTTTATGTTCCTCAAGTTACTCTCATGGAAAAAGTTTAAAATAGAGAGCAGGAAGGAGAGATAACATGCTGCGGGTTTGGGGCTGGCCACATTAAACAAATGAGAAGCTATGTTTTCTCCCAGTTCAAGTCATACCTGCTGTCACTATCGTGTGAGGAGCCAGATCTTTATTTTGGAAAATAAAGCCACCATGGGATTTTGGTGACTGTCCAAAGTACTTGGACTTTGCATTCATGTTTTATTAGCTGATTTCATTAATGGAATAATGAAATAGTAAATCATCAGACAGCTACATACAAAATATTAGTAGATAAACTAAGTAATCACTTAGATTATTTGTTCTGTTTGGCTCTTGAAAATTACTTCATTCCTTAAAGGTAACACAAGTAATTTGAAGTGTTTTAGCATTTGCCATTAACAGTACTGAACTGACTGGCTCGAACTCTTCAAACAGCTATTTTTAATAAAATAAAAGCATATCCAATTAAACTGTCATAATTGATGTATTTGTGTAGCAAGTTCCAAAGAAAAGACCGTGCTGCCTATATTTAGGATTCATAGTTTATGCCAGAATGTAAAATTTCAATTAGAATATGTAAGCGCACAGGACTGGCAATTATTGAGCCATATCCTTAATTTAAAAATACTGTGAATTCCATAATGCTGCTGTCAGTGTAAATACCCCTGATGTCATCAAGATCCCCCTTTGAAGTGTCTCTCCAGATTCACATTTTCGTAATTTCCATATAGACCTTTAATTTAAAATAAAACTGGAAAAGGGCAATAGCACGGCTAATTAAAACTTGGGCAAATAAAAGCTTGTACTAATCTTTGCCCCTGATATATCACCACCCTTATAATCTCTTTTCAGCAATAGCTAGTCTTACATCCACAATTTCCCGACAGCCTTAAAATCATACCCATCATGTTTGACACCTTGAGGGAATATGTAGAATTTAGCAAGATAAAGCAGTGTAGACTCTGTTCTAATTCAGTCATTTAAAATGCAGGATAGCAAACTGCTTTTTTATGTACTCAGCCCAATACAACTTGAAAGAAGACATGTATGTGAATCTGGACCAGCTCTGCACTTAGAATTTAGTTTTAATATCTACGCAACTCTTATACTTGGAGTGTAACACTAGACTACACTGATGGTTCTTTTGCTTCCCTAATTACATCATTACTCTGGGCAGAAGTCCTCATGAACCCTTCTGTCACATTGTCCAAAATGGGAATTGAAGACATTGTTATTTCAATCATCTCTTATTGTTTGTTTTGGGTTTTGTTTTCTTAAACAAATATAAAGGTCAGTCTGGTGGTGTTTCTCTCTTCCTCTGATTCTGTTGCTTTGTAGAGAGAAGAAATTTCCATACTGCA